TTGTTTCATAAATCAGAATTTTCCGGAACAATATTCTGTATCGTTCGGTAATCTGGAACAATGTTCTGGAAATTTTGGTTTACGGGAAAAAAACGTTCTGGAAATCTTTGCGGAATTCCGGAACACAGGTTTTCAAGTTTTCAACGAGATAGCATGATGGAGAACTGGTTGATAATTCAGGTGATTATATCATGGACCCGATCTTTGTGTTATACTCGTGGTAAATCTACTTTTCACAATCTTTAAGATTCCTTCTGTGTACAGCACGGGTAAAAAACGCGAAAATATATTCTTTGAAAATTCTCATCGTTATATATTTTACATGTTGTACAAGTAGCAAAATAAACCAGTGCAGGATCTTGCATATTCCTATCCTGTTAAACTCGAGTAATGCAATGCCAGAATGTTTAGATTTTAATTCTCGTAATTATCACGTGTAATATATTTGAGATAGTTTAGAAGTACATTATTGCTTCTAGATATAAATACATATTAAATAAAGAGTGTATAAAAGGAGAGGAAGTTGAGAAGGTCTTCTCCGGTTCAAGGGTCCGACACAACTGATTTGCGGTTTTCATAATCCTCTTTCGGGGATTTCATATCCTCTACAGAAGTCCCCCCCCAAGTCTTGAGTACAGAGAGTGTCGAGACTGATAATTAGCTCCTTGTAAGTGTTTACGGAAAAGGAGTAGAAGGAGTTCTGGTGATGATATTATTCACAACTAATTGTTTGTGAATTTCTGATCTGCCCCCTCCCCACGTCATGATCAACCTTGTGTAAGGCTGGCCAGTGGCCATTTAAAGAGATCTGTTGTAGTGAAGGTTAGGCGGGCATAGATTCAACCTGTAGAGAACTGGCGTCCAGAATATCTACAAGTAGGTTAAGATGGTAGCTGAGTTGTTTGATAGCTCCAGAAGTATCTGAGGTTTAGCTTATTAGCTCCAGGAGTAGCTGAGTTTTAGCTAATTAGCTCCAGGAGTAGCTGAGATTTAGCTTATTAGCTCCAATTCGTTAACGATCGTTAACGACAACCCTTCGTAAACGATCGTTAACGACGACCCCTTCATTAACGATCGTTAACGAAGAGAGGAAACCGACCTGAAAGCATCTGTACTTATCATTGAGTAGTTTTTAAGAAAACATCAAGGAGTTTAACTCCCCCACAACTGTTAAACTTCATGTAAGACGACATTCAATAAAGTTGCATGTAATTTTTTTTCCAAAAACGACTGTTTTGATAAAGTTCAACGTTTCGTGAACGATCGTTAACGACAACCCTTCGTTAACGATCTTTAACGACGACCTTTCGTTAATGAGCGTTAACGACGACCCTTCGTTAACGATCGTTAACATAATTGTCAATAAAAGTTTTTTTCAAAAACGATCGTTTTTTCAAAAACTATCGTTTTTTTTAAAAACAATCGTATAAAAAACGGTCGCAAATCGTTTTAATAAAAACGATCGTTTACAAAAACGATTGCTATTCGTTTTCTAAAAGTTCAAAACGAGTGGGTCGTTTTTAAAAACGATCGTTTTTTTCCGAAAACGAAAAGATCGTTTTTGAAAACGAAACAAAAAACTATCGTTTAACGATCGTTTTCAAAAACGATTAACAACCCTGCCAACGTGTTAATCATGAGTAATGTAATGCCAGAATATCTAGATTTTAATTCTTGTGAATATCACGAGCAAAATATTTGAGATATCACGGGAAGAACTTCATGTTTTAATAGAGTTACAAAATCACAACACTTGATGTCTCTGCTCATCTTTTAGAAACTAAAAGTTTATTGTAGTAAAATGAAATATTTTAACTGGCATACATTTTTCAGAATTTAACAAGTATGAGTATAGAAAAGTTTCACATTGAATTTTGTATTGTATTTCTCAACAACCCCTTTTTGGAATATCCATCTTTTATATGTATAAAGGAAGGAGCAATCTTACAGTTATGAACACATTAACACGCTTGAACACTATTCAGACTTGAAATATTACTTTTACTTTGTAATAAGAATAGTTTAATATAAAAGATTTAAACTCAAATGTTTAGTTTCTAAACATTTTTTAATAATTGTATATTTTAATTACACAGTATATTTTAAAGTATATTTATAAATCATAAATCAATTATACCCAAGTAACAAAAGTGAGGAATTTCCCCAGAATCTCCTACCGTGGGCTGACTTTCTTTGGAGAATTTCCAAGGAATTTCTCAAGAATAATTTCCTGTAACTGATTCCTTGGAAAATCTCGAGAAATTCCCCAGAATTAGTCCCCAAGATCAGAGATTTTTGTGGGATCACAGTTTTGAGACTTAGTTTGAGAAATTCCTGAGAAATTCTTGGGACTTGGTCACCATGTTTACGGATTTTTAGGGGAATTTATTAAGAGAACTAGTTTCAAGAAATTCCTGGGAATTTTTCCGAAATTTCACCTCAAGAAAATGCTGAGAATTTCTCCTGATTAATTCTCTGGAAATTCCTGAGAAATTCTTAGAGCTTGGTTACCGGCGCTACGACATCTGCTCTATTTCCATTTGCTCTAGTTCCATTTGATCTATCAAGTCATTTGCTCTATACGTCATTTGCTCTATACGTCATTTGCTCTATATTCAATCTGCTCTATACCTCATTTGCTCTATGACTAAACACGTCATTTGCTCTATAAACTAAAAATACACTACAAAATAGCTTTTATTGGAATTCCTGAGTGTAACTTGACTATGAAATGCGGGATTTTTTTTGGAAAATTCGCAAATTGCAGTTTTAATCAGTTCTTCAAAGTTCATTATGACAGAGAGACTGCTCAATAATAAGAGGGGTATAAAAACCTAATATGTGGTGAAAACTATATTGCTTGGTCTCACAATATGCACAAATACCAGAGAAACAAAACTATCTCCAGGAAGTTGGTGGAATAATGAAACTGTAGGAAGAACTGTAAAATGTAAAATTGTAAAAATATAGTTTTAATATGATTAGATGTTTGTAAAATATGTTTATAGAGCAAATGACGTGATTTACTCATAGAGCAAATGTTGAGTAGAGCAATTGGACCATCACAGTCATAAAAATGTGTATAGAGCAAATGACATGTTATGTCATAGATCAATTGACGTATAGAGCAGATTAAATATAGAGCAATCGTCGTGATCTATGAGCTATAGAGCAAATGGTTAATAGAGCAAATGGAACTAGAGCAAATGGCCATAGAGCAAATGGAAATAGAGCAGAATGTCGTAGCGCCTTGGTTACCATGTTTATGGATTTTAAGGTGAATTATAAAAAGAATTTGTTTCAAGAAATTCCTGGGAATTTCTCGAGAATTTAACCCCAAGAATTTCATGAGAAATTCTCCTGAATGCTTCTCCGGAAATTCCTGAGAAATTCTTAGGACTTATAAATCACCAAGGTTACGGATTTTTAGAGGAATTAAATAAGAGAAGTAGTTTTGAGAAGTTCCTGAGAATTTCTCTGGAATTTTTCTCAAGAAATTCTTAAAAATTTCTCAGGAATATTTCTCTGGAAATTCCAAAGAAATTCTCATGACTTCATCACAGAATTTTCAAGTTCTGTTTTTCTCCATTAGGTGTCTTCTATGTTCTCTTCTATTTTGCACTGCCAAACTAAATCTTTTTTTCTTTGCATCCTTATTGATAAAAAATGATAATTTACTTTAGAACCATCTTTTAAAAAAATATTTTGAAATTTATTTTTCATTTTTTTTTTTTGACAATTCAGTAAGATCAAAGACTACTATAACATTCTGACTTAAGAAGATGGTTATACTTCTAAAAAGTTGGAGGGGCAATAAAGTTGTTATGTTATTTACTACTATTAGGCCTCAGTCCTGGTTAGTGAATTTACTCAGAAATAAGCTGAGAATGCTTCAAGATATTCCTGAAGAACTCTTGAGAAAATCTTGGGAATAATTCCCTGGAAATTCCCAAGAATTTTCACAAATTTTGCCGACATTTTTTCCAGTTTTTCTGCAGAATTGGTAACAAGAAATTCCCTGGAATTGGTTACAAGAAATTCCTTGGATAGAGTTATGAGAATTTCCTCGGAATGGGTTACAAGAAATTCCACAGACCTGGTTCCTCGGAATGGGTTACGAGAAATTCCTCGGAATAGCTGTCAACATTTTCCCCGGATTTTCCTGTGAAAGATTCCTGAGAATTTCCACAGATTCCCATGAAAGATTCCTGGGAATTTCCGCGGATTTTCTGCAAAATTGTTACTTGGAAAGATCCATGAGCCCCGCACTATCCTGTCTGAACCCAGGTAGTATAGCAGACCCTTGGCTGCAGGTCGAACCCCCCAAAACCCTGTTGAACCCCACAGATTCCTTAAAAAAAAAACTATATATTGGTTTCCAAAATGTATTTCTTGGGGTGAAATTCCCGAGAAATTCCCAGGAATTTCTCAAAACTAATTCTCTTAATAAAATCCCTTTAAAATCCGTATACATGGTGATCAAGTCCTAAGAATATCTCAGGAATTTCTGGAGAAGCGTTTAGGAGAATTTCTCAGGAATAACTTTGGGTGAAATTCCGGAGGAAATTCCCAGGAATTTCTTGAAAATAAAAATCCTTAAACTTGGTGACCAAGTACTGAGAATTTCTCAGGAATTTCCGGAGAAGTAATCAGGAGAAATTCTCAGAATTTTCATGGGATGAAATTCCCCCGAAAAATCCGTAAACATGGTGACCAAGTCCTAAGAATTTCTCAGGGAATTCCTGCCATGTTACATTCTCTATTTTTCTCATTGCTTTCAAACAATTTAGCACATTATGGATGGAAGAAAAAACTATTCACCAAACCAATTGTCATGTTTTGTGGGACACTCTGTATAAATTATTTTATCTCATCTCGAGCGAACGGTATCATTTTGTTATGGCCAATTTCTTATTCATTTAACATTAGGTACAACTATAGGTCGTATCTATCTATCTACACTGCTCTGGCAAAGCGTAAGTCGTAACCATAGTGTGACTATGGTTCTACCTAAGGTAGAGCGTCTAAGAAATTGACCATGATTGGTGGAGAATGGAGTTTGGGAGCGGGAGAGGGGGGGGGGGGGGGGTGAGAGTTTGAAGGGCGAGGGGGGATTCTTATCTAGAATAAAAACAGCTGATTTTACGAAATTTAACCGCGGAGTTAAAACTGAACAGTGAGTGAACACTAACAGACAACAGATTACGGTAACAATCTCAAGGAACATCAATTGTCTTTAAACATTTTTTTTAAAGGTGAATATTTGCAAGTTATCTTTTTCCATCTCATAATCTGAGTTCGTTTCCCTTATATTCATTTGACAGCCCAATTTTTTAAAAATAATCTTTATTGTTTGTTTATTTTCTTGTGGTTTTTAACAATTTTTTAAAAATCTTTTTTTATCGATTTTGATGGTTATTATATCGTTAGAACTAACGAGGGTCAACCCAGACCGAAATATATTTTCAATAAATGTGGAACTAACATCTACTATCTGTCCAGACATTGTCTTGTAACCTACCCTTACCCCTTCATATCGGATATCATTGTATTAATTTTGATCCCAGAAATCGTCTTAACCTAACCTTAAATAATACAAAATAACTTAAAATTAATGGTCATATACAAAATTGATAGAGCTAGCCGCGGCGCTTGGCCCATAAATTGTTAACCTAACCTGACCCTAAAATAATACAAAATAACTTAAAATTAATGGTCATATACAAAATTGATAAGAGGGGGGGGGGAGCCCACAAATCGTATACTAGTACGAACCCTACCTGTACAGTTTGATTGTAGTACGAACCCTACCTGTATAGTTTGATTGTGTATTTGTACTGGATATACCTGTATAGTAGATGGTGTATGTGAACTGAATAAACCTGTATATAGTCATGACAGTGTACGTCTACGGAATATACCTGTATAAATAGATGGTGTATGTGTACTGAACACATCTATATATGGATGATGAATGTAAACTGAATTAAACTGTATAGTTTGATGGTGTATAAGTACGGAATATACCTGTATAGTTAGATGGTGGATGTATACTGAATCACTTGTATTGATAGTGAAAGTAAACTGAATAGACCTGTATAAATTGATGGTTTATGTGTGCTGAATATACATGTATTGTTAGATGGTGCATGTGTACTGAATAAACCTGTATAGTTTGATGGCTTATGCGAACTGAATAAACCTGTGTAGTTTTATGGTGTATTTGTACTGAATGTACCTGTATAGTTTGATGGTGTATGTGTACAGAATGTACCTGTATTGTTAGATGGTGCATTTGTACTGAATAAACCTGTATAGTTTGATGATTTATGTGTACTGAATAAGCCTGTATAGTTTGATGGTGTATGTGTACTGAAAGAACCTGTTGATAAATGGAGAAATGTAAACGGCCACAATCTCCTTCAATTGATGTACCAGGTATAAATAAAAAAATAATTACCTAAATGGAAAATGTAACGAATAAAGCAAGGAGTAACCCCCCCGGCAGCCAGTGAGTAAACCAGGCGTCAGGCTAAATATGGTTTAACACTTTATATTTTCCTAATCTAGAAGTATCTAGAAGTAAAGCGAGACATATTTAATTTAGTTTATTTGTTAATTACTGAATAATGAATTCCTTTGAACCTTTTAGATATTTTCTGGTCTTCTGCAGATTAGCCTAAAGGTTTTCATAGGAAGGGTTTACATCGAATATGGAGGCAGGGGGGGGGGATTTACGCTGCATTTGATAAGAGTTCGATAAGAGTTAGTTGTCTATCCTTAAAATCAGTGCTTAGGATCCGGATCCGTTGAATCCGCAAGATCTTGGCTTCTTGGATCCGGATCTGCAAAAATATGCAGATCCACGGATCCGGATCCAAGGGTCAAAATATCAACCAAAAACTGCAAAAAAAAATGTTAAATCTCAAAACCCAATTTTGAACTATTGAAAAAAGAGAAATTATAAAAATTTCTGAATGCTTCATAAAGTTTAGCATAAAAATAAGACAAATTTGAAAATTTTGCTTTGTTAAAAAAATTCAGTAAGTTTATTAAAAAATAACCTGGATCTTTTTTTTCCAGTGCCGATTCAGGATCCGGATCAAAATTAAATGGATCCTTAGCACTGCTTTAAATATTATTTTAAACAATTATTTATAAAATTTCAAAATAATACATGAATGAGAAATGGAAGTTCAAAATTTCTGCTCTCAATTCAATATTTAGACACCAAAGATTTAGAAAATCTTTTAGAATGTTGGGAGATTTTTCAAAGGATAGAAATAATCTGATATGTTTAATTGTTCTAAAACATTTACTATTGTTGCTAGGACCCTAAGAGGTATGCTATGCCTTTCCAGTCCAATGTCCAGCTGACAATGCTAGAACTGCATAATAAGAAAACCAGTAAATCCATCAAACTTATGGAAAGATCTATATTCTCGGCCAGGTAGGAAATCCCCCCCCCAAAAAAAAATTTACTATTACCCCCGTTTGAAGGCTTTCAACCCTTCATTACAAAGTTTTCGTATGGGATATCGAGTCCAGTCGCTAAGGCCCTCGTCTAAATATATAAAGTAGAGTTCTTGTTTGTTTTTATGTCCCTGATGATAATCCATGAACCCATTTACCGATATACCTCAAATTTTGATTTGGAACTCATTTAAACCACGAGAATCTTCTAAACTTGGTTTTACCAATTCTAAATTGAGTGGGTTGACTTTAAAGAGAACTGCTCCAGGCAAAGCCAGGTTTTCTAGCCTTATGGGTTTCCTCGAAAAAATTCAGCGCTTTTGGACCAGCCGTTTGGCCATCTGTAAACATATTTATATATTTGTATGTGTGTGTATATATAATATATATATGAGCCAAGACCTTTATTATATAGATAATCTATTATCTTTTATTTTCAGATATTGTTTTGTGGAGAACCTTTACAGATCGGAGGTCATTGAAGCCTCAGAGTTCGAGGTTCTCTCCCAGTGGTTCGAGTATGTCGTGAACTCCTCTGACATCGACCTCGAAGTTGACCTCGTCGTTTATCTTCGAACAGAACCAGAGAAGGTCCAAAATCATTTTGTTAGTTTACCAAAAAAAAGCCTAAGCACAAAATTGATAGACAAAACTGTAAACCACCACTGCTTAAATAATTACACGAACTTCACGCCTTTATCTTCATTTTTAGCAGTGGCATATATGCTCTTTAACAAACCTATTTTTTGCCCAATCCTCTTATCAAATATATTTTCATTCCCTAAAATTGGGAAATAAATGATTTTTACGTGGAAATTTAATTATTGAACAGTAAAAGGTATAAAAAGGTGAAAAAACCTTGCCAGTTGATTTTTTCCTCCAATCATTTTAAAGGAAGTTATATGAAATTTATCTTTGAACTTGTTCAGGCTTTAGATAGAATAAAAGCTAGAGGTCGTGGGGAGGAGAACAGTATTCCACTCCAATATCTTCAGGTTAAAAAAATTCTACTGGACACCCAATTTTGAAAAGAGGAATGCATCTTTCGTTTATTTGCGATAACCCCAAAAGTATTTGTGAATAGAAGCTCAACTTTTCTGGCTTTTCTAACTAACACATGTCCCTCAATTAAGGATACAAGATGGGCTATCTTCTGCCTGAGTCCTTCAGGCATACTGCCTAAATGCCTATACCAGACTAAATCTATATCTAGACCTACTTACAGTCATTGGATTTTAACATTTTACAGCTCTATGGAAAGCCTATTACAAAGGCAAGCAGATTGCACAATTTGTGCAAAGAAATTTTGCATAGATTTTGGACAAATGCCTTTAAATGGAATTTGCACATTTTCATTTTTTCTTGAATTCACAGATAGGGTTAAAAAAATTTAAAATGTTTTTGCACATTTGAATTCGCTTGGTCAAGGGCATTTCAAAAATGTAAAATTCGTTGAAATTTACGCAATTTTTTTGCACATTATTTACTTAATAACTAGATTTCGCAATAAATATTTGTATTTTTGCTAATTTGCCATTTTTTGTCAGACTATTGTTATAAAGGCAAAGGGCTTTGAAAAACGTATCAAGTGATATAGATTTGTGTCACAATAAGATTTGAAGGGGGTTGGGGGTCAATTTGAACCCCCCCCCCCCCCCC